CTGTGCCCACCTTCTCATCCTCCCAGGGACATGCCAACCCCTCAGAGCCCTGAGGACCTGTCATGGGAACTAGGCGTGAGGCTGCCTGCCTCTCCCACTCCAAAGCCCCCCACCCCTCAGGCCCGTCTGCCCCTGGAAGAGGAGGAGGGCTGAGGAGTGGCTGCCTGGAGAGCTGCTGGGGAGGGCATGGCCTTCCTGGATCCTGCCGGCCAGAACTGGGCTGACCCCAGCCGGCCTGCATGTCACCTGGTCTGGGGCCTCAGGCCGTGCTCAGACGCAGGAGTGGAGTGACAGTTCTGGGGGGACTCCCAGCCCAGGTGGTGGTGTTGAAACCAGCCATCCCCCTCCCCTTTGCCTGGGCCAGTTACAGCCGGGCTGGGCCCAGGCGGGGTCAGGGCCAGGGTCAGCCGGGGGGTGGGGGGGTTAGGGCTGAGTCAGGGTCAGCCCAGGGCTGGGCCAGGCCTGAGGGCTTCACGTTCCTTGCAGCCAGTAGCCCCCACCTCCATTCCAGCCAGGGGTGTGAGGAGCTGGAAGGGAGAGGGGCGGACAGGGTGTTACTCAAGACAAGGAGACCCCCAGAGAGCTGGGCTGGGCTGACTTCACGGCACATCAGAGAAAAGAGCCGTCACCAGCAGCACTGCCAGCCAGAGCCTGGGTGGGGGTCCCCGGGGCCTGAGAGCAGGTGCAGGCCCACGCTTTGCACACAGAGGAAGGCTGGTGTGAGGCAGAAGGGGGGTAGCCATCTGGGGGTCCAGGTAGACCTGATGGACCATCCCTCGTCCCTCGGGGTCTGTCCCCAGCAGGACCCATGGCCAGCCTGTCTCACCTTCTCTGAGTAACCTCGGCACAACCAACCTTGACAAACAGGGGCTCCTTGATCCGAGTCAGGCCAGCTGGGGGTGGGGATGGGGGACGCTGGTGACATCACCTCAGTCTCCAGCTGCCCCTGGCCCTCCACATGCTCCCACCTCACGCAGCTACGCCTGGGTGAGGCCCCTTGAGGTGGACTTCCCACCCCTTCCAAATGAGGCTCCGTCTTGTTCCAGGCTCATGAGCCCAGAGGCCAATCAGATGGAGGGGGGCAGTCAGTGGTCGGTGGTCACTGAGATGTATGACCTCAGGACAGAAGGGGACAGCGAGGGCTCTGGGGCCATTGCCTGGGCCAGGCTGTCCCCTCCCTGAGCACGGCACCCACACAGTGCATCCTCGTGGAACAGCGAGCTTCTCCTTGCCTGTTTTCAGGTGGGGAAACCGAGGCTCTGGCCTGTCTCTTCTGGCCTGGGACGCTGCCCTCTCCCCCTACTGTCTGGGAGTCACTGCCTGCCTCAGTCGCCAGGCGAGTCTGCTTTAAGATGGTGCACCTGCTTCCCAGCAGCCCCCTCCCCCAGAGACCAGCAGCCCTGAAGCCCCATCTGGAGGTCCAGGCGCTTGCCGAGGCATCTGTCATTTGCCCGGTCACGTCTATAAGTGGCATCTGACAGTGGGCACGGGGAGGCAGGCAGAGGCCAGGCTTGAGGGCTAGGGAGGTCACAAGAAGGACCCAATTGGCAAATCAGACCCTGACTCCAGGCCCCTTCCCATAGGACCCCTGGAAATATGGGCTGGTCTGGCCCCAGGGCTGGGGGAGGCAGCAGGTGGGCTCATGTGTAGGATGGGGGCTGGGGTGGAAGGAGCTGTGATTCGAAGCTCAAGCCCATGGGAGACTTCAGACCACGGGAGCCCTCAGGCCACGAGAGCCCTCAGACCATGGGAACCCTCAGACCGTGGGAGCCCTCAGGCCATGGGAGCCCTCAGGTCACAAGAGCCCTCAGACCACGGGAACCCTCAGACCATGGGATCCCTCAGGCCACGGGAGCCCTCAGACCATGGGATCCCTCAGGCCACGGGAGCCCTCAGGCCATGGAAGCCCTCAGGGTGGGTGGGCCTCCCCAGTGGCGTCCCTAGGATTGGTGACTCTCAGTGCAGTAACTCATGGTGTCACCCCGCCATGGACCTCCTCCCATACCAGACTACCCAGAATCCTTAGTAATGTTTATTATTAATTTTAATCATAGAATAATATGTGATAAATACACTTGTAAATTGTTTAAATGTAATATTTGTTAGAGCGTATGAATACTAACAACAAAATTGTTTTGTAAAATCTTTCTACTGATGACATTATTAGCTACATTATTAGCTACATTATTAGCTACATTATTAGTTACATTATTAGCTACATTATTAGCTACATTATTAGTTACATTATTAGCTACATTATTAGTTACATTATTAGTTACATTATTAGCTACCTTATTAGCTACATTATTAGCTACATTATTAGTTACATTATTAGTAACTGAGCAGAAGCCTTTTTTGATTTTTCTCTTGTTTTCCTTTAACTACTACTTCATTCTCAAAAAAGTTATTCATATAGGTTCACAAATACTACTTACCACAATACTGTAGCTAAAACATCAGAAAATTGGACAAAATCAGCAACTATAAAAACACCGCCAACAACGAAGACAGCCGTGCTTGTAGCCCATGCGGACGGAACCGCGTGATTTGAAGCAGCGTTGTAATCGGGTAATAAAAACTGGAGCAGCCCATTAAAAAACCAAAATGAAACCCACTGCCATCAAGTCAATTCCAACTCCTAGTGACCCCATAGGACAGAGTAGAACTGCCCCATAGAGTTTCCAAGGAGTACCTCATGGATTCGAACTGCTGACCTTTTGGTTGGCAACCATAGCTCTTAACCACTGTGCCACCAGGGTTCCTGGAGCCCATTTGAAGGTTCAAAACATAAATTAGCACAGAGATTTTAGTCTTGGAGGTATATTGATACATGAAAGCCAGGCTTATGAAAAATATTTCTGTTCTTATAACTACAGGAATATTTTTATAAAAAATAATAAATTTCCGCTGAAACACCACACAAGAACTTCATAGACAGTCGTTTTGGTGTCACCCCCTCTGACAGTGTCACCAGGTGCACCCTGCACTCCCCGCACCCCTGTATAGTGATGCCCCTGGGCCTCCCTGGCCCCTGGGGAGGGTCCTTGGAGCAAAGGCAGCAAGGCAGTTCTGGGCCCTGCACCCCAGGGGGGCTCACCAACCCCGCCTCTGAGCCCGAAGCTCCTGGACCCCTCAGCACCCTGAGGCCTTGGCATCCTCACTGGCCCTGAGGGCACACAGGAAGCCATTAGCAGGGCTCAGAAAAGAGGCTGGGCTGTGTCTGCGACCAGTGGGCTTCCCAGAGGGGTGTTCCGGAAAGTTCCGGGAGCCCTGCCTAGAGCAGCAGCCTCCTTCTCACTCTCTGGGCTTTTAGGCCTGCCAGGCTGCTGCAGGTTCTGGCGGCCAAGGGCCCTCGAGAGCCCAGAAACCTCAGATGTTAGTGGGCGCCGGGCCTGGGCCTCAGCAGGGACTGGCCAGCACTGGATTTTCAAGGACGACGTGGTCAACCTGGTGGCCCATGTTGGGGGTTTCGGCACCCCAAGTCAGGTCCCCAGGACTCTCAGGCCAGGCGGTCAGCCAGCCAGGGCCCACAGTGGCCCTGCAGCGCTCACGGAAGACGTGCTGAGGAGGGCATTCGCAGACGCCTGGGGAAGTCTCACTGCCCGTGACTCAGCCTCCACCTCAGGCATGTAGGGTGTGCTCCCTGAGAAGCGCTGGCCACTGACTCAGAGGGTCAGGGGCCATGGTGGACCGGCCAGTGACGCAGGCCTGCGCCCCTCGTGATTCAGAGTGGACACAGGCTGGCCGGGTGGCTGCCACGGCCCTCCTCTCCTCACACCCCAATTATCCAAACTGCAGACGTCCATCACCTGCCCCTCGGGACCTGCCGAGCCCCTGGCCAGCTGGAGATGCCACGGCTCACACGCTGGCTCAGGACCTGCCCCCACCCCGGCCAAGCACCAAGGCTGGGCAGGAATCCCCAGTGCTTCCCGTCGGCGGTCACTCACCCTCCCCTGCGACCACTCATTCGTTCATCCGTTTGTTCACTCATTCATTGTCTCCTCAGCCCCCCACTCCATCCTGCCATGTGTCAGCTGACCTCCCTCCCAGCACCTGGGCCAAGACGGGGCAGGGGGAGGGGCAGCTCAGGAGGCAGAGACTAGACGACCCGAGTGACTGGGGTTGGGTCCAAGAGAGCCCAGAGCAAACGCCCCGGACCCCAGCAGTGCAGGGGCCGCCAGGACCTGCAGGAAAGGGTCGACCTCACCCCAGGTGGGGCCTCCTGGTCAGATCCAGCCTGTGGGCTGCAGAGCTGCTGACCTTGGCCAGGGTGTGTGACTGTTGGGAGGGATAGCTGAGTCCAGCCCTAGTTTCCCCAGCTGTCCAGATGAGGACCCCACTGCTCACCCACCCCTTATCTGGGGCAGACTGATCACCATACAGTGGTACCTTCTCCCCAGAGCCCATCAGCCAGAGGCTCATAGGCTGTTCTGAGCTGTGGCTGCCCTGAGCAGGGGCTGCCCTGAGCTGTGGCTGCCCTGAGCCTGGGCTGCTCTGAGCTGGGGCCAGCCGCATGGGCACTCCTGACTCCCAGCTCCCACAGGGCCAGGGCGGACCGAGCTGGCTTGCTGGCCGCCCATTGCTGGGCTGCACTGGGAGGAGGGGTCCTGTGGCTCAGGGTTTGCTACCCCCAGCCTGCTGACCACCACCATCCAGGGAGCAAGGGTCTGACAATGTCTCCAGGCCCTTGTCTTGGAGGTCAGGCTACAGGCCCAGAGAGCTGCCTGGGAAATCCTGGGGTGGGGGCCCGGAAAGAGGACGCCCTCGGACCAGGACTTAGGGGGCCCTCAGCAATGCTGGCCCCACCCGAACAGACCCGCCCATCCCCTGCCAGCTGCAGCGAGTGCCCACTGTTTACCTGGGCGAGGGGAAGGCACAGGCCCCGCCCTGCCCACCCACGTGAAGCGCTGGGCTGAGCCAGCCCCGGGGCTACAAAAGGCTCCTGCAGGCTCAATCCTCGCCTCACTGCTGTCCCTGGGGACTCTCCCCTCACCCACACCATGGCTGTTGGCCGGAGGAGGCTGGCCCAGCTCTGGGCTCTGGGTCTTGCCCTGGCCTGCGCCCAGCACACAGGTACGGCTCGCGCTGTCTGCCTCTTCCAGGACGGTCCCCAAGTCCTGGGGTGGCCCTGGCCCAGGTGGCCCTCACCCTGAGTGGGCCCATGAGGAGTCCTGCAGGCCCTGCCTGTGGCCCTAGCAGGCCTTTCATGGGCTGGGGGAGTTTGGGGCTTCAGGGTCTGGGACACCTTTAGGGCTCTGTGATGGGAAGACAGAGGCCAGGCTTCCTAAGCACTCCGCCTGTCCCTGCCAGCCATCCAACCTGCAGTGGCTGGCTCGACCATCCACTGGTGGCCCCGACCCTCCATCGGTGGACCCTCCAGTGGAGGCCCCGACCCTCCGTCGGCGGCCCTGACCCTCCAGTGGTGGCCCCGACCCTCCAGTGGTAGCCCCGACCCTCCAGTGGTGGCCCCGACCCTCCAGTGGCGGCCCCGACCCTCCAGTGGTGGCCCCAACCCTCCATCCACGGCCCTGACCCTCCAGTGGTGGCCCCGACCCTCCATCGGTGGCCTGACCCTCCAGTGGTGGCCTCGACCCTCCAGTGGTGGCCCCAACCCTCCATCTGTGGCCCTGACCATCCAGTGGTAGCCCCGACCCTCCATCTGCAGCCCTGACCCTCCAGTGGTGGCCCCAACCCTATATCCGAGACTCCGACCCTCCAGTGGTGGCCCTGGCTAACAGGGTCCAGTCCTCACGGGGCTCACTGCTGCTCATGGCCCTTCCCAAGCAGGCAGGTCAGAGCGGACACTCAGCCACCAGGGTCCACCTACCCCTTGGACCTCCCCAAGTGATCCCACCACCAGCTCACTCTCCACCTGGGCCACAGTGAGGTCTCCTGGTGGGTGCCCATCCTCGGTGGAGGGCGGATGTGAGGCCCATGTAGAACCTACGTTGTGAAGGTGACAAGGAGTCTCATGGGCCCCTATGGCCCCCAGGCAACCCATGGAAGACCCTTCTACCTGGGCCTCTGCTTCCCAGGGACACTGAGGCCAGGACAGGTGTGTGGTGACAGCGATTTTCCAGGAGGAGCTGCCCCAGGAAGGAGCCCAATGTTCCCGGGGTCCTGGCCAGCAGGGTGGGCACCGAGTGCTCGGCATGGTGGGGACCTCGGCACGACATGCCAAAATTCCAATGCCACAGCTGCCTCGGCCCCCACCCAGAAAGTGGGCATGTCCACTTGGCTTGCACTGTTGGCTCGAGCTCCCCACATGACCAAGGCTGGGAACTGCCTCCCCTCCTCGAACCTGGCCCCTCCCTGGGCCCCCTCTGGCCCAGGAGCACCCACAACTGACCCTCTCTCCCTGGGGCTGGCAACCCCTTGTCAGGGCCGCTCCGAGGCATCCAAGGAGCCCTGGAGGGATGGAGGGAGAGGGTGGTGGGCAGGGTCGGGCTCTCGGAGAAGATTGGGCTGTGCCACCTGGAAGGCAAGATTGGCTGTGTGGCTGGCCCAGCTCCCGAGGGGGTCCAGAGGGTCTCTGTCCTTGGCTGACCCATGTGGCTGCCCTCGTTGGGCCAGCCTGTGGCAGGAGAGGCAGAGAACACCCCAACAAGGACAGAACAGGAGGGATGGAGCCACCCTGAGCACCCTCACTTGTGGCCCCCAGAGTCCCACGCTGCTCAGTGTCCCCTGGAGCACTGATCACCTTCCGACAAGCTGCAGCTGTCTGAGGCCATCCCTACATCCCCCATCCAGGGCCCAGTGCATGGGAGACTCCCAACATGGATGGATGAATGGATGGATGGATGGATGGATGGATGGATGGATGGATGGTTGGATGGATGGATGAACGAACAGCCTGGAGACCCAAGGTCAAGGCAGAGGGGACCCTCTACCAGATGCTGAGCTCCCATCAGGGCCAAGAAGAGGGGAAGATCACAAGGGTCTCGGCTGAGCTGCCAGCCCAGAGGGACCCCGCAGGCTCAGCCTATGAGGACAGATACCCTGGTTGGCCAAGGCCCTGGCTAATCAGCACTGTGCCCTCACCAGAGCCCACTCTGTTGGCACAGGGGACCGGTTCACTACTGCCCATCCTTCAGCCACCCATTCCCCCTCCCACCCACCCTCTGGCTCAGGCCCCTCCCCTCCTCTTCCACAGGGCATGCCCACTACGGCTCCACGGACTCCAGCTATGAGTACTACACAGACAGCCCTACCTTCCAGCCAGGGCCAGGTGGTGAGTCTTGGTGCTCCATCCTGCCGACCCCCAACTCCACAGCTCAGCACAGAGCCCCAAGGGCCCATTCACTTTGGGTGCTTCCCAGCCAGCCCCCACCTGAGAAACACCCCCACACACCACCCCAGCCTGCTGCATGTGGCCCCTCTGTCCACGCTGATCTGTTGCTGGCCCAACCACACCCCTCTCACACCCTGTCGCACTCCCCTCGTGTGGCTGAGTGACCAGACAAGCTTCTCTCCCTGAGCAGGGCCTGTGTGTGCACTGCCACTGGTCTGCTGGGGCAACTGTGTGCCCAAGGTGTTTTCCCGGGGCGGGGCCACACTGCCCAGCTTTCCCACCCAGCCCCTGTGCGGGGCCCACAGCATGACCTTGGCCAAGATGTTGCCCATTTAGCTCGTGTCTCAGGGGCACACTAGTCTTCTCGGCCTTGGCGCCTTGGGGTGGGCAGGGCTGTGCACTCTGGGTGGTGAACGATCACTGGGCACTGTCCCCTGTGGCTGGCAGAGGCGGGTGCAGGGCAGATACAGTATATCTCGGTTTGCCTCTCCACACCTTGTGCCCAGGGAGGGGTCACCCAGGCTTAATCTCAGCACCCAGGAGATTGTCTTGAGCTGCCGCTGTTGACTCAGGCATTTTTGAGATTCCGGGCGCAGGGAGCCCTCAATGTGCAAACAGAACTTTCCAGGCCAGGCAGGAGTGAGGCTGACAGCCCTGGGGCTGCCTCCAGGTGTTGGCCGGGAGGGACTGAAGAGGCCAACCATGCCTGCAGAGGCCTTATCTGCTCCCACGTGTGTGCATAACGGAGCGAGTTGCTGGCACACTGCAGGACTGCCTCGCAGGAGGCGTGTGGGGCTGTACTTCACACACACCTGTCCCCGCAGGTGACCCACTCGGTGGGGTGACCATCTTCCCACCACTGAAGACGGTCCCTGTCATACGAGGTGGGTGAAACCTAAAGGTGCTGGGAGGGGACGGGCTGGGTTTTCTGTTCCCTCAAACCCGGAGGAGCCTGGGGCAAGGGGCCAGCTTTCAGGATCGGCACTGAATGAGTCTTCAGAAAAGGGCCCAGAATCCCTCATGAGGATGTTCCCATGGTCTCCTTGACCAAGCTGAGCTTCTCCGGATGCCCACTGGGGGCAGCGGCATGTCTGTGGGGACCCAGGCAGGTGGGCTGAGGACAGCCAGCACCCCGCCTTCAGAAAGCTCCTGCCGCTTCCCCCCAGCCCTGAACCCCGCGCACAACGGGCGAGTCTGCAGCATGTGGGGCAACTTCCACTACAAAACCTTCGACGGTGACATCTTCCGCTTCCCTGGCCTCTGTAACTATGTCCTGGCCTCCCACTGCCGCGCAGCCTATGAGGACTTCAACATCCAGGTGCGCCGCAGTCAGGAGGCCAAAGCCACCACGCCCAGCAAGGTTGTCATGAAGCTCGACGGCATGGTCCTTGAGTTGACCAAGGACTCGGTCCTGGTCAATGACCACCCGTGAGTCCAGCCCCCGGAAAGCCCAGGTGGCCGTGGGTGGGGACACCATTTTGCGGGGGACGGGATGCACAGAATCTTCAGCCTTAAGAGGGACGTGGAGTCATTGAAAGTCCCTGAGAGTGGGGCTGGCATCCGTCCTCCCCAGGCCTCCTGCGCTGTCCCATTCCCCCGCCCCGGAAGCCCGAGGACGCCTCGCACTGCCCCTGGGAGTGCCCCTTCCTTTGTCTCTTTGACATCAGAGCCAGCATCCCACATCCCTGTTCTGTGTGCCACAACCGGCACCACACATGACCACGTCTCCCACATCCCTGTCTGTATATGACTCCATGTGCCATACACCAGCACAGTCTGTGACCACGGTGAACTTGTCACACATGTGGCTGCAGGGACCCTCCCCTTACCGAGAGCACAGCCCTGCTGCTGGGGCCCCATTCTCAGTGCACCCCTCTCCTGGCGGTGCCCCCTCAGCCTGGCCCCATCTGCAGGGTCCAGCTGCCCTTCAGCCAGTCCGGGGTCCTCATCGAGAAGAGCAACATGTACCTGAAGGTGGTGGCCCGGCTGGGGCTGGTCTTCATGTGGAACCTGGATGACAGCCTCCTGGTAAGAAGGGGTGGAAGGATGGAGCCCCTAGCTGGGCAGGAAGCCACTCTTTCGAGAGGTGGAGACCACTGTGGGGAAGGCAGGTGTGAGGGTGGCCCCTTCCTCACCATGGGCAAGGACAGGGTCCAGACTCTAATGGAAACCATAGTCTGCCCTCCCCAACTTGGGGACCCACCTATGGGATGCCTCCTCCAGGGCAGGTCCAGCTTACAGCCTGGTGCCACCCCAGGAACTACCAGGTATGCAGGGGCTGTGGGAGGGTCTCATGGGCTGAGTGTCTTCTGTGAAAGTCCAGCCCCTCCTTGGGAATCTTGGGCTCCCAGACCCCATCTGTCCCTCATGTCCAGAGCGTCCATGGTGGGGACGGGCATCTGATGTCACCTCTCCTTTCAGCTGGAGCTGGATGACAAATACGCCAACCAGACCTGTGGGCTGTGTGGGGATTTCAATGGCCTCCCCGTCTTCAACGAGTTCCTCTCCAACAGTAAGCGTCCACGCTGTGCCCTTGCTCGGGCTGCCCAGGGAACCAGGAGGCTTGGTCTTTCAGGTCACAGTCAGACCTCTCCCAGTGTGTGCATGCACGCACACATGCACACACTCACACCCCGCACACATGTGCACACACACAAGCATGTACATAGATTCACATACACATACACGTGCACACATGCACACACTCACCACCCAGCACACAAGCACACACTCACAATCCTGGCACACACACATGCATGCACACATACTCATATACGTGCGTACGTGCACACACAGTCCCAGCACACACATGCACACCTGCAAGCATTCACATACAGGCACACACACTCACACATGTAGACCCATGCACACCTGCACAATTCTGCCACACGGAAGTGCCCTCAGTGCTGCAGGTGGAAAGCAAATTTCCCCCTCAGGCTCCCTTAGCCCACCCCTGGGAACTGGCCCGGTCTGTTACCGCTGGGTGAGGAGGGCCCTGAGCCCACAGGCAGCACCTGCATCGTGTGTTCTGCAGACGTCAAGCTGACCCCTACCGAGTATGGAAACCTGCAGAAGCTGGATGGGCCCATGGAGCAGTGCCAGGACGCTTCCCCCACGCCCACGAGGAACTGCACAACTGGCCTTGTACGCCTGGAACCAACCCTGGGGTGTGGTGTCGGGGAGGCCCACTCCTGCAGACATGGGGCTGAGGTGGTAGTGGGGGTCTCAGCCTGGGAGGTGGGACTGGGAATTCTGAGAGTCAGTCTGGTGGCCTCCACTCTTGCCCTGGACCAGGACTCAGCATGGCTTGCACTCCTGCCCCCAGGAGTTCTGCCAGGGCATCCTCCTCAGCCAGCCGTTTTCCGGCTGCCACGACCTGGTGAACACCAGCAGCTACATTGAGGCCTGCCAGCAGGACATCTGCCTCTGTGCAGACTCTGACCCCACCAACTGCTCCTGCCCCACCCTCGCCGAGTACGCACGGCAGTGCGTGCATGCTGGGGGGGTGCCCCAGGACTGGCGGACCTCCGATCTGTGCCGTGAGTGCCTCCCCTGCCCCGCTGCCCACCCATTGCCCTCCAGTCTCACACCTCTGAGGCAGGGACGAGCGTGACATGAACCCCATCTTCCTGATTGCAGCGGCCCAGGCGTGCCCCTTCAACATGGAGCACCACGAGTGCGGCCTGCCCTGCCCCAACACCTGCTCCAACCTCGAGCATGCCCAGCTCTGTGAGGACCACTGCATCAGCGGCTGCTTCTGCCCCGAAGGTGAGACAGCACCCCTCCCTGCTCCCCTGCTGGCCTAGTGCAGGCCCCCAAGAAACACAAATATGTGCTGGGTGCCAGGTGCCTGAGGCAGCCTGGGTCCCTGGGGTGTGAGGACACTGACCGGCCCCTCTGGGGCTGCGGGGGCTGGGCACGGCCCTGGTGCCCCGTCTCACGCTGCCCGGTCCCGCAGGGATGGTGTTGGATGACATCACCCAGAATGGCTGTGTTGCTGTGGACCATTGCTCCTGCACGTACAACGGGCTCTTCTATGCCCCTGGGGACGTCTACTCCACTGACTGCACCAACTGGTAGGTCCTTAGGGCGCTGCCCTCCATCCTGGGTGCAGCTGGGAAGGCCCCCGGGGGGCTGTGGCTGGTGTTGGCCCTCGTCTCCCATGAGGGAGGCTGGGTGCCAGCACTGGGGGCCCCTGGAAGCCAGAATCCACGTGGCTCTTCTCCCCCCTCAGCACCTGCTCCGGGGGCCGCTGGAACTGCCAGGACACCCCATGCCCTGGCACCTGCTCGGTTCTGGGGGGCAGCCACTTCTCCACGTTCGACGAGAAGCAGTACACGGTGCATGGGGACTGCAGCTACGTGCTGGCCAAGGTACTGCCCACCCAGGCATGGCCAGCATTCAGGGCTGTCTGTGCCAGCCCTGCCCAGCCCAGCACCATCCAGCCAGGCCAGCTAGTGAAGGCTTCAGGTCAGCACCTGGCCTTCCCGGCGCCAGCCCCGGGGTGGGGTCGCTGAGTCTCTGTGACCCTGGTCGGTGCCCTGACCCCTCTGTGCCTCGGCTTTTGTTTTTGATCTTGTTTTTCAGTTAATACACTTCATTTTTTAGAGCAGTTTTAGGTTTAAAGAAAAATTGCACACAGAAAGCATGGAGTTTCCATTTACTCCCTCCTCCCTGCAGTTTTTCCTATTAGTAACACCTTGCATTCCTGTGATACATTTGTTACAACTGATGAGCGAATGTGGATACATTGTATTAACGTACGTCCATAGTTTCCGTTAGGCTTCACTCTGTCACACAGTCCTGTGGGCTTTGACAAATGCACAATGCCATGTGTCCACCACTGCAGTGCCCTGCAGGATAGTGTCACTGCCCTGAAAATGCCTTGTGCTCCCCTGATCATCCCTCCTCCTCCTACCTGGCAACCACTGACCTTTTCACTGTCTCTATACCTGGTGCCGTCCAGGTGTCTCTGACTCATGGCGATCCCATGTGTGTCAGAGTAGAACTGTGTCCTATAGGGTTTCAATGGCTGATTTTTCAGAAATAGATCACCAGGCCTTTCTTCTGAGGTGCCTCTGGGTGGACTCGAACCTCCAACCTTTTGGCTAGCAGCCGAGTGCTTAACCGCTTGAACAGCCCAGGGACACCACTGTCTCCATTATCTTGCCCCTTCCTGAGGGTCCTGTAGTTGGCTCCCGTGTGGCTGTGTCCCACTGGCTCCTCTTGCCGAGCCATGTGCTCAGGCTCCATGTGTGCCTGGGGTCCCACCTGGGAAGGGGGTCCTAAAGACCCTTCCTCCCAGGTATTCTGAGATCTGTGTGAGCTACTCCGTGCCAAGTTCACTGCATGTGTTGGAATAGGGGTTTGTAGCGAGGGTGGGCAAGGTGGGAGGAGAGTAAGGACCCTGTGTCCTGCAGCCCTGTGACAGCAGTGCCTTCACCGTGCTGGCCGAGCTGCGCAAGTGCGGACTGACGGACAGCGAAACCTGCCTGAAGAGCGTGACGCTCAGCCTGGGTGGGGGACAGACTGTGAGTGTGCCTGGACCCAGAGGGAAGAGGGATGGGGAGGGCCCCTGTCCCCCACTTCTTCACAGTGTCAGTTACTCAGGGAACATCTGAGTGACTGTCCCCAGACTCTCTGTGAAATCCATTTCCCTGTCCTCTGACTTGAGTATTTTCATTCCTAATGAAACTCTCATAGAAAATGCAGGAAGGCAGGGTGAGTTCATCCCACCCCACAGGGCCTCCCCAGCAAAGGTCCCCCGACCTCCCTGAAGACACATTTCTCAGCCCCCACGGGGCCAGGTTTGGGGGCAGCAGGGACTGGAGCCCAGGCCCGGCCACTGACCTGTACTGTGCTCCCAGGTCATCGTGGTCAAGGCCAGCAACGAGGTGTTTGTGAACCAGATCTACACCAAGCTGCCCATCTCTGCAGGTGAGGGCTGCCTACCAGGCCTGCGCTGCCTAGGGGTCCTGTCCTTCACACCCCTCTGAAGCCCTGTCCTCTGTACCTGCAGCCAACATCACCCTCTTCAAGCCCTCGACCTTCTTTATCATCGCCCAGACCAACCTGGGCCTGCAGCTTGACATCCAGTTGGTGCCCACCATGCAAGTCTTCCTGCGGCTGGCACCCGAGCTCCGGGGCCTGACCTGCGGTAAGAGGCGCCGCCCCCTCCCCAAGTGCTGGGCCCCTTGCTGGCCGGGTCACCCCAGGGCCTCACACTTGCCCTCTGTACGCACCCAGGCCTCTGTGGGAACTTCAACAGCATCCAGGCAGACGACTTCCAGACCATCAGCGGGGTGGTGGAGGGCACAGCCGCTGCCTTCTTCAACACCTGGAAGACCCAGGCCTCCTGTCCCAACGTCAAAAACAGCTTCGAAGACCCTTGCTCCCTCAGCGTGGAGAACGGTACACACTTGCTTGCCCGCCTCCCTACTGGGTCCAGAGCAAGGTGACCACCCTCCTGTGCTTACAAGTCAGGGGGGCTCCCAGGGAGGAGCCCCCAGACACCCTCACAGTGAGGCTTGTCATGGGTCGTGTCTGTTTCATGTGGAGCATCCTGACATTTGGGTCATGGCTTCAGGGGAAAAGAAAGGCTGCAGGTTTCTATTTAACTTACGCTTGACCCCAACCACTCATCCCCTGGATGGGGTGGTGGATTCACTCTCTGCGTGTCCTGGGCTCCTTTCTCTCCCTCTGGTGACCCAAGATGCCAGAACACACCAGTGCATACAGAAGAGTCCGCATGGGCTCTGCGTGTCTGTCCACAGCGGCAGGGAGCATCTTGGGGGGCTGGCGGAGCAGCAGGACAGAGACAGCAGGAAGCCCACTGACATGACGACACCTCACCCGCATGTGCAGCCTTTGGTGTTGGCATCTTGAACAGTGCGAGTGACGCTGTAGGTCCAGCGAGGACCTATCTTGGGTGGTGAGGGTCTGAGCCTTCCACCTCCCTGTGTCCACAGAGAAGTACGCACAGTACTGGTGCTCACAGCTGACAGACGCCAAGGGCCCCTTTGCCCTTTGCCACGCCTCCGTGAACCCTGCCACCTACTACTCAGTAAGGCCCGCCCCCTGTGCCCCTCCCAGCTGAGCCCCCACCACTGGCTGTGAATCCACCTTGGGAGACAGGATAAGGCACTAAAGGGGGGAGGACGTGTAGGCAGCTGTGAGGGCCAGAGGTGACCTGCCCCTACCCCACGTGGCTCTCCTTGCCTGACTCCAGCCCTCCACTGGCCAAAAGCAGTAGAGCCTG